TCTTCAATACCTTAAAATAATGCATATAAAGGCGGCATTTAATATACTCTATACACAAAGGCAACTTTGAATTGACGACACCGATCTTCTCACAGATTTTTTATTTAACTTGTTTTATATACAATGGTCGCTTGTAGGTAAACCCCGGGCAGCCTCGCTACAGCGAAGGATGCTTCTTTGCGTCAGCCTTGTCCGAGCGCATGAAGTAGTGTGATTTTTTGTATTATATTATAAGATCTATTTTCTGTCGTTCAACTATTGTACACTTTTGGAAGTAAGATAGGTATAAGATCGATATTTATTGAAAGTAAGAAAGAAAGTTCTAGTGCAGTCTAATGCAAGAACAGACCAATAGTTATTATGAAATATCTTGAACCGTTGAATTTCGAAAAATCTGTGATGGAAGTAGTGGTGGTGATGAAAGAAGAGGAGGAAAACGCCTCCATGGAGGTCGATTCAGTGACGTCATCCCAAATGATAAATCAGATGAGTCATAATTATTCGAAAGTAGAAAGAGAGAAAAGTTGAGTAGACTCCAGTAACGTCAGTCCCTGCGACGCCACCTGCTGATTGCTGTATCCATGGATTAGAATCCCCATAGTATTATTAGGTAAGTGTTCATGATGTAGCTTGTCGCTCATATTCAGCGACAAACAAGTCACGTGATTTCATATGTCGCTAATCTCGAATATCGATCATATATTAGGTATATAACTTTGCTTCCGCCGTTTTCCTATAGATGGGTTTAGCGGTAAGTGGTGTGTGGCGTTGCGAGCGTTAGTTGCGGCGCTGCGAACGTTAGTGGCGGCGCTGCATGCGTCTGTCGCGACGCTGATACGGTCGTTCTTTCCATGACTCTTCCCATTCTTTCTCTGGCGTCATGGCGTGCCGCGTGCAGACCTCGTGTAAGTCTCTGCGATAGTCAGTAAGTTAGAACTCGGAAGTTAAGGTTCCGAATTACTTTGTGTATTCCGCGAGACCGATACCGATTACTATTCATGTCTGTGGCAATTGTTAGCGTCGTCCGATAAATTCTTAGAGTGTATCCGAGCCGTCTTACACGCGCAATCACGTCTCTACTTTCTAATCTACATTTGTATTTAGTATTTAGTTAGTTAGATATTAAGTGTGTATTAGGTGTCCAACTTTGCTTCCGCCGATTTTCAGGTGTACAACTTTGCTTCCGCCGATTTTTAGCTGTACAACTTTGCTTCCGCCGATTTTTAGGTGTACAACTTTGCTTCCGCCTATAGATAGCTTTACCGGTAAGTGGTGGTCGAAATATTGTAAATAGATCATAGACGTCATACAATAAACTTGAGCATCTGTCAACATAACCTTATAGAAACATTAGTCGATTTGTGTCATAAAGTTATTCTCAATTGAAAATGTCAGTTTACGAACCAAATTCTCATCATTTGCGGGAGGTTTTAATTTTCTGCTTCACTATGAAGAAATCTGCGGCTGAGGCTCATCAAATGCTCTCAAATACTTTCAACAAGCCATTTCAAAACGCCTCAAAGTCATGGGAATGATTCAGAAGCAAGGAAATTGGGCGCCGTACGAGTTGAAGCCGAGAGATGTTAAACGATGTTTGTTTGCTTGTGAACAGCTGCTTGAAAGGCAAAGACAGAAGGGATTTCTGCATCGCATTGTGACTGGGGACGAAAAATGGGTTCATTACGATAAACCCAAGCGCAAAAAATCATGGGGAGTTCCCGGCCATGCTTCGACGTCGATGGCCAAACCGAATATTCACGGCTCCAAGGTCATACTCTGTCTTTGGTGGGACCAGCTCGGCGTAGTATATTATGAGCTGTTAAAACAGACTGAAACAATCACAGGCGATCAGTATCGAACGCAATTGATGCGTTTGAGCCGAGCATTGAAAGACAAACGGCCGCAATACAACGAGAGACACGATAAAGCCTCGAATTTCGGAAAAAAAACGACGGAAGCAAAGTTGTACACCTAATAAACGGATTAGTAGCAATAAATTTTGACAGTTATTATATCAATTGTGCCATGTAAAGTGCTATAAAGTCTATAATGTCATATCAAAAACGGTATTATGATTGAACCTCAAAAAATCAAGTTGATGCGATTGTGCACAACAAAAATAACGCAAAATTATGGCAAAATAGACTAATAGTATCTGTATGCATTAATAAATGTACAAATTTAAAAAGAAAATATAAAAAAAGAGGGGTTGATCCTTTTAGGTTGATCCTTTATTTAATTTGAAAGACGACGTAAGCGTGGATTAAAACAAATTATTGTTTAAAAATTATCAACAAATAATCGATTCCATACACCCATGAGTCGAAATGCTTTTTTTGTCTATGATCATTTCACATATGCTACAAGTATGTACAACAGTTATCTGAAAATTTCATGAAATTATCGCAAATAATAACAAATAATACAATAATTAAAGAATATTAAAAAATAATAATAATTTAATAATATAACAGTTAAATTAGTATAATGTATTGAGCAATTATAAAAAAAAGTCTGTATAAATAAAATAGGAAATAAATCATATAATCAGAGTTAAATGAGGTAAAATCACACGCAACAAAATTTTTTATTCATAAGAAATTTGTATTTATTTATTTATTGTGATAATTATTTAGAATACAGACACATCACAAAATTTGATAAAAATATACTCATTCGATACGTTTTCATTCAAAATAAAAGAATCTGGCAGAAAAAAGTGGTGATATGCTTCATGAAGCAAATTATTATTATGTAGAGTTGGGTTCCATTCGAAAACATTACCCGAGTGTTCCCATGTATCACTTTATCCTTGTATTTAACAATGGATAATAATACAATACGCGAGGCCACTCGTGTGACGTTTTTTCACTATGCAGCTCTAATAACTATTCAGGTAAAGAAAACTCGTTTTCCTAATCTGAATAGATGCTTAAGGCAGATTCATTTTTCCACTACATTAATTCTATCATTTTATCAAGTTTTGCGATAACATTCTAAAGCTACATTCTAAAATGTTCTCTCCGAGGAAAATTTTACTCGAAATACTGTAATATACATGTACTGTAATATACTGTTACATGTTCTATATATTTTGAATAAAATTTTCCTTGCAAAGGATGTTTTGAAATATAGCTTAAGTAAATACCTTTATTATATTTACATCCTGCTGTTCCATATTTAAATTTTTACGTAAGAGCGATGTCACTAAAAGTTGGATCAATTTAACTTTCCAACAGTGTTGCTGGCGACAAGAAAGTGAGCAAATTGAGAATTCAGTCATGTGATCGTTTATTGTTGCGACAAGCGACACCATGAAATTGTATCTTACTACAGTATCGTCGATGTCGAAAAATTACGAAGCTATATTATGGACAAAATAGTCGAACGCCAAAATCCGCGGGCAAGAGTAAAGCGCTCTTAATATCGTTGTGCTGGGGATTGTGCTGACTTGTGTCAGGCTAGCACAAGTCAGATACACAGTATACAGTATCACAGACGTCGATAAATTACAAACCATCTATTATGGACAAAATAGGCGAGTGTCAAAGTTCGTGCGCAAGGGTAAAGTGCCCTTAATATCGTTATACCGAGGATTTTGAAGGTTATGCTAAGTTGTGCTAGACTGGCACAACTCAGATATGCAATTTTATAATATTGAAATAACTGATACGTATGTAAGCGTCATTTTCTTCCGAATTGCCAAACATCATTTTTTTATCATAATTTCTATTGTCATTATTTAAAAGTATTACTTTAGCACAATTTTAGCACAACCTAGCACAATTATGAAAATTGAAAAAATCGCAAAGTAAGGGGTTGGCCTAAAAAATCATTTTTTTAATTTTCTAACATATTTTTCATATTTTGACTTTAATATTCGAGCACAACGTAGCACAAACCTAGCACAATTCGACACAATTCTCAAAATAAGTTGATTCCAAAAGTGGGGGGGGGGGGGCTAATTTTTTACAGGCTATATAATTATATACATAATTTTATACTATTTTATATAATTTTATATAAAATATTCCAAAAAGTAATCTATTTACGGACTCTCCACAATTAAACAAGAAGTAAAGAATACCAAGAGCGATTGAGAGTGCAACATTGTCGTTGGTAAATAAAAGAGAATAAACAAGAAATATATTCTATTATTTTGCGTACCAACGACAACACTGTACCCTCTCTCAGTCGCCTTTGATATTGAATTTGATATGAATTTTGTACAGTTATATATAATTACATATTTATTTATTATACACTATTACTATTATACACTATTATATTAGAAGGATGTTAATGTCTTTCTAATAAGATACCGGATTGAACATCAAAATTTGCTTGTCAATTTAATTTAATTTGTGATATTATTCCAGTAGTTTAATTGCGTTCCGTAAGTCCGAAAAACCAATACAGCGTGCAATTTGAATAGCTACAAATATGCATGTACGTATATAGTATATATATAAAATTCACATTGAATTATTTAAAGCATTGAAGATCTAGCTTCCGTTATAGGCTTGAATATTCTTACTTACAATTAGTATTTATTACATTTCGGTCTTAATAAAATCATTTATTATTATTAATATTATATTCATAAGCAATTTACTATTGATAAAATAGATAAATTTATATTATATTTACATGTGTATTTATACATATTATACCCATTAAAATCCCTAACTTTTTATTTACATTTTTAAAATTTAATTTGTAAGTATATTTATTATATACATGTATATGTAATGAATATTTATTCATACATTTATATACCATTTGGATTTACATATATACTCTTGGTGTATAATTGTATTATTTGAAACAAATTTCCAAAAATAATTTCCATCAATTTGACTTTAAATTCTTACAATGAATAAATCCAATTTATTTATTACATTTAAATGGTTACGAAACAAATTTACTTACATCACATTTCTCAAGAATATTCCTTTTCCAGTGTTGTTTGTTCTGTTTGGTGCTCGCTGATGGCATGAAATTTGTATGAGTTTTGGACTTCGGATTGATGTTCAATATATTCTGAAATATATAATTCATTATTATTTCACAATCAGAGAAGCGATATCGATAGTTTTTGTCAACATAAGATAACCAGCTTGAAGAATTTGAAAAACATTAAAAGATAAACAAAAGACGTTTTAAAGGCATTCTTATCTTAGAAATAAGATAAGAATGCCTTTAAAATGTCTATTATAATCTAAAAAATGCCTATAATATTTATAAAGTCTTCAATATTAGTTCAATATTTGTTCAAACTTGTAAAAACTCATGAAAGATCTTCATTCTTTATATGAGATAAAAAAATTGAAAAAATAAAAAGATAAAATCACACGAAATAATAGGTTGCGATAGATTTTCAGTACAGGCAGTCAATTTTGGAATATAGTTCGTGTCTCCTGATACTAATCGAATAGAATAAGAGACGCAGTATAATGAGATTTCTCATTGAAAATTTTTATCCGCTTTTTTTGACAAAATGATGTCTTGAAAGGAATTCCTATAATTCAGCTCCAAGATGGAAATTAATAAAGTTTTTTTGATAATTTTTGGACCTTGTTGACGATGATTATTCAGTATTCTTTTTTTCCGGAAATTTATATATAAAAAAAGAATATTTTTAGAATTATTATAATTGTCTGTGCCATTGGAGATTGGATGTACTAACCACGTCTATCAGACGTTTTGTGCGATACAGTATACGTATGAAAAACTACTGAAAGTCATCCATATAAACGCGACACATTGTTTGGATATCTATACAACGTTGAATTGTTTCATAGAAAGTAATTTTACAAAAGAAAGAAAAATGTGTGGACATGTACAGACATATTTCATAATATAATTATATATAGACATATTTCATAATATAATTATATTATGAATATGTTTATATATGTATTTATGTATGTTTCCTTTCGGAAAAGAATCACTGACTAACTATTGTATCCGTGCAGTTATATTACAGCGGCGACAAAAATATTATAATCACTTAATATTACAAGCATCTATGTGATATTTTCGCACTGTAATCGGCGAACTACAGATAATAGTATAGATAATAGTATAGATTGCAGGAGTAGTAGTGCACAGATTGCAGTAATTGCATGCATGTAATCCGTCATGTGTAATAATTTCACACGCAGCGAGAACTTAGTTGCGCACCTAATATATATATATATGATAACTATATGAATATCCAACCAATGATTCTTTTTCATAAAGATTTATATATATTTATATATATTCATGCATGAAAAAGTTTTTTTGAGTATATTTTACTTATTAAAGCTTAAATATACAAATAAATACGTATATAACATATTATTTTTATATTATATTATATTATTAACAAAACAGAATCTGCTCGATTTCTATCACTGCTATCAATTACCATCGGATTGCACAGATCCTGTTATTTTTACTAGGATTCTACTATCAATCTGCCGTCAAAGTCTATCATGACAGCAGGATCTGTTGGAACGTGTTTTTATAAACGTATGAATGCGTCCAGTCAGTGTGCGCCCCGTGTTTAAAGAACCCGCGTTTAATCGTGAGCGCCGCTCCTGCCCGTTTCCTATACGCGACCCGTGATACGCTAATTATTTCTTCTTGTAATTTGAAAACTAAGTTCGGACAAAATTTTCGTAAAGGAAAAATCGTCTTAGAATTCAATCAGAAATACGTTTCTTCAGGGACACTTGAATTGTTCTGAATCACTCTGTATACCAGAATAAAGTATAAAATATCTTGCGAACTATTGGTTTTTTTTATATTACTATCTAAATACTTTTATATGCAGAATAATTAGAGAAACCATACGGTGTAAAAAAATTCCATTAAAAAAAATAGAGACTTGAAATCTCCGAAGCGCCTCTATTCATAGAAAAACTATTAATAGTATATTGTACTCCTCTTGATGCTATATAATTTCAACAAATATTCAATTATTTCATATCTCTAAAAAATGTGAACACGAGCATGACGTAGTAGATAGCGCACGAGACTGCTATGCCAGAGACCCCTAGCAGATTCAAAGAATTTTTCACGCGCTTTGTAGCTCCTCTTCAGTGGTCTGGCAAACTATCAAAAATATCTACAAGAAAACCTTTCAAAAACTGCCGGCATTCGGAATCGACGTTAAAATTGTAGGTCCCGTATGCTCAGTGTACGACCTGCATACACACCGTAGACATACGTATGAGAGGTATCGGACAACGGCGAAAGACGTTATAAAATCGAAAAAATATATATATCTCTAAAAATAGCGGAAATATTCTAAGTGGACAGAGTTACTACCCCACCTGTATGTATGAAAAGTCTTTGTATCATGAAGTTCACATTATGAATATTATACTGTAAGAAATAATTGCGACAACACAAGAAAAATATCAGGGTGCTTCGGGAATCGAATCGAGACCTGATTTCCTCCATATTGCAAGACTCCTGTCCTGCCATTGAGCCACACAGTTTTAATGCTGATAGCTTTTTTGTTGTGTTTATTTCCTCTTAAATTTCTTAAGTTCAATTAATTATTCAAATTTTAAAATATTTTTTTAAGAATATGCAAAAAAAGAGATTTGCTATCCAGATAGCAAGTTTCCAGCATATAGCTATAAATTTGATACAAATTGCATCGCCTGAGTTGCCATCTTTTTTGAGGAAAGCAGTTTTCGATTTTGCTTATGATATTGGGTGGCGATATATATATCATTACGCGCGATCAAAGGGAAACAATTTCTCTCTTCTCTTTTATAAGTTAGGACAATCACACACGACAACATAATGGAAACTAATTCCACAAAACCAATTTGTTAGCAATTTGCCAGCAATATGAAAGAAACTGTTGCAGTAAAAAAGGTTAACTTCTAACAATGCTTCCTAACAAACTCCTAACAATGTTTAAAATCGTTTCACAAGAAAACTTTAAGATATCTTTAAAAGTTTATTAAGAAACATCTTTGAGATATCTCATTAAAAAATTCTGAAAGACATCTTATGTGACTTATGAGTTGATTTTAGACATTTTACTCATTGTGTTGACAGGTGTAAGTTACTATAAATAAAACAAAGCAGAATAAAATATATATTAAATGTATCAGGAGATTTCATTTACTCAGTAAACGTTTCAAAAAAAGTTCTTTTCTTATCTCAAGAAACGTTTTCTTATCTAAATATATCTCATATAAGTTCCTATAACATAATGTCCATTATCTCATTGAATATGCTGTGAAAATAACATCGATATATTCAGTACAAATTCAGATAAGTTAGAATATTTTCTATATTTTAAAAATGTACATGGAATATACTATAAAATATACCAATTACAATATTCGAAATATATTTTCAGAATATTACGAATGATATTTTAATGATATTCTGAGAGTAATAAAAATAAAATTCAATAATCCAGCAAACATTAAATTTCTTTGTTTACACTTCTTTAATGTTCGAGAAGCTGTCGATTTTTTATTCAAGGTGAAAAATAATTGTGTTCAGAATATTCACATTTACAAACATGTCTGTCCAACATCTCAAGGAAATTATTAAATTAGAAATCACTTCCTAACATCACGGCAAAAAATTTTCACTTACTTCGATATCAGGCACATCCTTGCTTAACATCGGTTTCAACGATGCCATTTTTTGGAACGAAGTAACATGCGACTTAATGTAACAGATTTGTGCGCCAAATTAACGACCGAGAAACTGATGTAATGAGTTGAATTGCGAGAGTAGATTGTAAAGTAACAGATTATTAAAGCAACTCGCTTCGAGTTTATTTATCAGAGAGCGGAGAGATAGCGGAATCTCAAAAACTACGATTCACTTCGACATTTATGCCTGCACTGAGCTTGGATACTTTAGTGACTCACTTTATGACGTAGTACCACGTCAACACTCTCAGATAATCTTGTATTACAACAATCAGTAGAAAAGATATCTGGAAACGCGGAAAAGTATCCAAATCAGAAGTGATCAATCTATTTGTCTGGCGTGCTATTATGGAGATTAATTTAGTGTGGTACTATACTAGAATCTCATTGTAGATGCCGTTTTACGTTTTTATGTATGCCACAGCCTTAAAGAAGCAAGAGTGTTGTCAAAAATTTTAAAAACCAAAAATAATACAATAAAATAACAATTCTACTCTACTAAAATTTATTTTTTATACTTGCGCTTTTTAGCTACATTTGCTTCTCGCTCGTTTTGTGCTATATTATTAATTTTTTAAACAAATGTAAGACAGAACACACTAAATAAAATAAACTTTGTTAAACACAAAAAATTTTTTTAATGCAAAAGAAGAAGATATAAATAAATAAAAATTACGAGCTCCTTTTTGCTTAATTCTGTAACATACTGCTGAAGCATACGGCTGAATTCAGCAGAACATTTATTTTGCAACTATTTCGGAAATTTTCTTCACGCTGATTGGATTATACTTTTAGATCTAGAAGAATTTTATCTCTACAAACAACCATAAAACGATTATGAAACTGTTATGTTCTATTGAACACAGCCTATGTTACAGAATTAAGAGCAAAAAGAAATTTGTAATTCTAATTTACTTATACTTTCCTCTTTTGCATTGAAAGCTAAATTTTTTTCCTATTTAACAAAGTTTATTTCATTTACTGTGTTCTGCTTTACATTTGTTTTAAAAGTAAATAATTTAGTACAAAATTTTAAATATTTGACCGCACTCTTCTTTCTTTAAGATTATGGCATACATGAAAACGTAAAGCGGTGTTTACAATGAGATTTTAAAGTATAAAACTTAAGCTTTAAGACTTAAACTATCAAAACTTGACCAATCACAGTGAAGAGACTAATTGATTGTAATTGGTCTGTCAATTTCTTACGGCTTAAGACTAAAAGTTTAATTTTACATCATAAAAGCTCGTTGTAGATGTCGCTTAAGGCAATGACTTTACGTTCTCCACTGTGATTGGTCTATTCGTTTATTGCTTAATTTTTGTTATGCGACTACAAAACATTTTCGCGTGTCACGCGTACTACGCCCCGATGAAAATAAAAATCAGAGCGTAAGTAAATGGAGAGAAACAGGAGTATAACTAAAATTTCTAAGAAGTGAAAATTGGAACAAAGAAAAATAAAAGAATTATAAGTGTAAATATTTTTTTTACGTTTCATTGTTCCAATTTTTATCTCCTAGAAATTTCGTTCAAGCATCTATTACCCTCCCTTTATTCGACTTATACTCCAATTTTTATTTTCATCAGTGATGAAAAGAAAACACATAGTTGCTTATTTAAAAAATTATCTATTTTGTATACATATTTTTTTAAAGCAACGATATATTTTCTTTCCATCAACTAATTCATTATTCTTTTCGTAAAAATATTAAAGTACGATTATCAATAAATTAATAATTTATGAGTTATTTAACATTTTATGTCAATATATGCCAGAATAAAGTGTAAAATATCTCGTAAACTATTGATTTTTTGATATTAGTACCTTAATATTCTTATATGCAGAATAATTAGAGGAATCATATTGTGTAAAAAAAAATTATACAATTCCATTTAAAAAAGTTCCAATTAAAAAGAGGTGACCTTCCTATCTTTTTGACGCCTCTAAAAAAAACCAACATGACCAAAATACATCCCTCTCGAAATCCTTTCATTTTCAAACACTTTTCACTTTGAAACATTTTTTTATATCATCAAAAATAAGCAAAATATTTCAGATGGTCGATTTAAGTGGATCACTCTGTATATATAATATATTAGACTGACAAGGAAAAAAAATTTTGTTTAATCGGCATTTCAACTCAAAAGCTTCCATTTTATGCCAAAAGAACACCCATAAACTTTTATTTAAAAATATTAAGATTTAGAGGTCGCTAGTGAACGATTTTTAAATCAAAGTTTTGATTTTCCTCAATACATGTTTGACTTGATGTAAAAATAGCTTAATTTTGATTTTAAATGTAATACTGTACATTTTTTTGGTCGCTGAATATTATGCAATAATTCATTTAACTCTACGCCTTAAGAAATACAGCCTGATTAATGTGAAAAAATAACCAAATTTCTGAGTTCAAGGTCGATTTTAACAAGGTTTCAATCATTCAAATATGATGTTATTCCCTTCAAATTGTAGATCTGTTCATCTAGAACTGCAACTTTCAGAGGTCCTGCAGGAGGTCCCGGGAAAATTCCAACTGAATCTTGTTCTGGGTGAACAAACCTACAATTTGATGTAAGTAACGATCCATTTGAAACTTAGAAACTTGGCAAAATCGACTTTAAACTCGAAATTTAGTCAAATTAATTGGACTGTAATTCTTAAGAATATATCGTAGAACTAAATGAATATTGCATCGTGTTCAGCGATCAAAAAAAACATACAGTACCACATTTAAAATTTAAATTAAGTTATTTTTGCAACAAATCAAACATGTATTGAGAAAAACTTTGATTTAAAAATCGTTTACTTGCGACCTCTAAATCTTATAATATTTTTGATAAAAATTTAAAGATCTTTTGGCATAAAATGGAAGCTTTTGAACTGAGAAGCTAGCTAAAAAAAATTTTTTTTTCTTGTCAGCTAGTACATATATATGTGTATGTATGTATATGTATTATGTATATATATATATAATATATATATTATATATATATATTATACATATATATAATATTAGAAAAAAATAATCTTTTTCAATACTTCTAAAAGGGTTCCTAAATTTATATTTAAAAAAATCTAAGAAATTTTCTAAAAAGTTAACATTATATAGAAATTCTGAAAAATTATATAGACTTATAAAAAATCTTTTTGCTAGAGTTATTTTATCTTTATTATATTTACTAGACCCAGAATGATAAAATTAATTTTAAACCTCGGGGAAAATCCGAGCGCGTTCACTTGTAACATATTGTTGTATTTGCTTTTAGTTTCAAAAAAATATCTTTTGAAAACAGTATTATAAATTAAATTTTCAATTTGATAATTTTGTAAAAGATAAATAATTGTTAATTAATAAATAGCTTAGCTTCACTTGCCTTTAATTATTGTAAGTAATTCAATTCTATGAAGATATGCTTGCCAGAAGTTTTTTTTTCAATTTTTGGAGGATTTGAAGGTTGATATGGAGGTAACTAACGCTGTATTAATAAAATGTTTACTGTCACAACATGCAATGAATTACACGAGGAAATGCTGTTTGCCTTTACATCATCGTTCTATAGAATTGTACAAAGAGAATAAGTGATAGTCCAGCATGATTAATTATTTCTACATAAATTATACGTTGATTGCTTTCGTAATTGCATATAATAGCAAGCCTGATAAGTCATAAATAATTCGCGCATATGATAAAAGCGGAGCGATTCGATTGATTACAAGCCCGTGTTATGTAATACTATAATTTCTGGAGAACCTACGGAATTTCTCTCAAATTAGAGGAAACCATCTAGTATTGCGAAAGCACCTCAACTTGTGCGATTCAAACGTGCAATCACAAGGAAGATGACATATTATATACCTCTGTAAATCATTAAGAGATATCAAATAACTTTCGTAAATTTTCGTAAATAGGTGATCCTTACGTCTCTTCAAAGGAAAATTCAACATTAATTCCTGACATAAACATTATAAATTACAAGCATTTTATTTACAAAAATTTATTGCTTTTAATTAAGTTGTAAAACTACATAATTTTATAATTTAAATGTGCATGCAAGTGATTATTATCCACATTTGAATATCAAATCTAATTAAATTATTGATTAAATTACTTAATGAGTTTTTAATTAACCACGTTAAATTGAAATGAAGTGAAAGTGAGAAATTGTGTACTCATAAGAAAGGTATAAAAAAATCAGACAATCTTTATCTCCATAGAGTATTATCGAGTTCTTTATGACGCTCGGTTCTTCAGATAAAAAAAAAATGATAGAACGAGGAACGATCACACCGAATTTTCACCTGAGAGTGAGTCTAACAATTGTCTACTTTCTGGGCACGTGGCCGCCTGTCACAGGCAAGTTCCGGTTACCGTATCTACTTTACACCATCTGTAGCTTCACTTTCATCCTGGGTATCTTGCTCTCCTCCGAAATAGCGAATGTTCTCATGAACTGGGGAGATATGTCGAAACTCACCGCAGTTATGACCTTGCTAATGACGAATTGCACCCATGCTTCGAAGGTTACTGCAATAATCTTAAAATTATCTAGAGTCCGACCGAAATTTCGGTTTCGGTTTCGATTTCGGTCAGTTTCGGTAAAAAATCAGGATTTCAATTTGATTTCAATTTTGGCCGAAATTAAAAGAAAATGCCAATGGGTAAATCAAAACTATACAAATTGCAACGCACTACTGAACGTTCAAAAAACAACTGTTCAATTTTAATTATTAATTCGTTAATTAAGCTAAAGACAATTTAACACAAACTTTGATATGATCCTAATAATAACTGTGATTTGATTTATTTGAAAGTTGAAAATGCAATATTATTATATTATTATGTTTCAAAATCTTGTTTTTTTGTAGATGTACATATTTGTCATAATTTCTGAAAATTATACGGTCTTTGGAAAATTAATTAAAAAATGTCGACTTCGGCCGAAAAAAATATGACTGTTAGCTTCTCTCTCTCTCTCTCTCTAAGTCTCTCTCTCTTTCTCTCTCTCTCTCTCTCTCTCTCTCTTTCCTTCCCCCTTTCCCTCTCCCTCCACCTCCCCTCTCTCTTTTTCTCTAATAAGATCTAAGTTTCGATTTCGGTTTCGTTTTCGGCCGAAATTGAATGACAACCGAATATTCATTTTTGGTTTCGGCCAAAGGTCAAAATGTAGATTCGGTCGGATTCGGTCTATAATTATTTATAATTTTGATAATATTTTACAGCAATTAAGAATTTAATGTAAGAATGCTCCCGTAGCAAAAAATATTACAAAAACGTTATGTGCAATCGTCTACTTTGTCACAAATGATATTGCTATGATATCGCTATATGCCATAATTATAAAGCTGTGATAAAAATTATACCTCACTGTGAGACTGCTATAACATATAGATTAAGATAATAATATATGATACCACTATGATCTTTTGATAATCTCATAGTGACATCAGAATTTATTTGTGAACCTATTGTGACGTTATTGTGAAGGTTTTTGTTATCCTTACTAAAAAACATGTCACAAAATTACATATCAAAATCATGTAACTTATAATAAGGATAAGTAAATCAACGGATTGTTTCAAATCATTTTTTAAATTACGTGATTTTGTAAATTTTGTTTAAAAATGGATATCCTCTGCCTTTTTTTATTTTTTCACTATTCAAACTAGAATTAAATTTCATTTGAATTGTAACGGTAATAGGAACTGTCAGTATATTCAACAAAAAGAGAACAATAGATATTTCATCATACTTTTTGTAAGAATCATCTCAGAATCATTATTTAATGTTACAAAAAGCGTGAATTTAAAACTAGCATTTATGATTCCGAATTACGCTTAAAAATTACGTTACAACCGACAAGGATGCATTGAAGACAACAGTACATCATGTTGTATACAGGATTTCTTGTAATGATTATGACGCGTCATACATTGGTCAAACCAAAAGGCAGTTAAAAACGAGAATTGCGATCATAAAAAAGCTTATGTCTGATATTAATAAAAAGTCAGATTCACCGTCGGTCATATCAAATCATCGGTCATATCACTTAATCATAATTTCGACTGGAACAATGTTAAGATTTTAGACAGTAAATCTTGCTATAATAAGAGAATAACTTCCGAGATGATTTTTATAAAAAGGCAGACTAACGGGTTAAATAAATAGAATGACACTTTCTTTGCCTGAATTCTTTGAATGAATCTTTGCCTGAAATATTGGCTCATCTAAAAAGTATCCGCGGTACTTTGTCACTAGATATATGACCATCAACACATCTAGTGACAAAAAACCGCGGATACTTTTTAGATGACCCAATCTCCTATCATACAATCACTTTTTCCTTCCTAAAGAACTTCTTATCTTAAGATCTTCATCCCTATCCCACTGAATTCTCCACAACGATGCTGTCTTTAGTTGGTCGCTGTGTGGCGTGTTCGGTTATTAGTTCAAATTTATATAGCAATAGTTGAAGGTCTTTGCGTGACAAGACATATCACAAAATAACGGAAGTTGAGTTCTAGAGTTTTCTCGAACGAATCATTACACTTTTTGCTGATATGGTGATTGTTCAGAGTTTTGATTTTAACAGTGCTTCTTGCTTAAAAATAGAGATAATTTTAATTATTATCTGTGGAATCATTTAAAGGTAATTATCATCATATAAATAAAAAATTTTTTCCAATTTACCGATATTAGACAATACCGATATTACACAATACGTTGCTTCATATATGTTAAGTAGCGTGAATTTTTACCAGATGTTCATTATGTACGTAGCAGGGAATACTATTCAAATTTTTATATACGATTATAAGATGTTCAAACCGGCTTTATATATTCCAAGTAGCGTGATACTTTTACTAAGCGGTCAGTACATAACAATGAATACCACTCAATTGGATGAATTTACAAAAAGTTCAAACCATTTGGAACGACTTCAGTTTCCTTTCTTCGCTATATGCACATCTATTCAATATAAGTTGCGATTGCAGTCTCGACGGTACAACTATTGTCGCTTTTCTATGATTGCAATTCGATCAGCCAATGATTTTACTCTGATACTTTAAGTCGATAGCTACTCACTAAATTACCGCGAATTCTTTCTTAACTTAAGTTGGGCGCCAGGCACGAGTGAGTGTGCCGCTCTTTGCGACTTCTTTAAATCTCGACTAATTATTCTCGATTTTTCTTTAATGCGACGGACGACAACGGACTGCTCAGTGGAGCATGGACAGCGGGAGTGGGTAATTCGGAGCGGAAGTGAATCGGAAGGCGAGAGAACAAATAAGAATTACTACCTTTTAATAATAAGAGAATGGAAAACATATATTTAATATTGATAAGGAACACGATTCCAAGCGCCTACCCAAGTACGCAATTTACCGTAGTGACAATAACTCGTCTTAGCGCGAATATGTGCTCGTTATAAGCGGAAGTTATCGAATCGCATAGCACAAAGTAATACGAGAAACAGACGTCACGAGAGTTATCCTAAATTCTTCAGTCGATCAAAGTTTACAGCAACAATCGCGGCTTTTCGTCAGACGTCGTACAATGATTTTCTCTACTCAACACGAAGTGCGACTCAAACGGTGATATAATACAATGCAAGATGGCGAGTTAACATATAATCACATTAACAAGACGCGGTGACTTCGCTGTGGCGAGAGGACGGCAAGTTTACGCGAACTGAATACAAAACTCTATGTGATTCTAGCGAACGGCAAGCGACAGCAAAAAGATTAATTATTCGCGGTAGCTCCCTGTACGGGCCGCAGTCTTTCGGCTCGAATTCGGCACGTGCTATTCGCTCAAGTTGTCGGGGATCGACGGCCTTACAGAATTTCTGCGCTTGTCTCATTGGTAACTCCTCTCTTTCGATCCTTTCGTTAGCTCCCTTCGTTAGCTCCCTTCGGCTCAGCTCATTCTGAGGCTCGGTAACACTACTCGTACAGATGCTCGCTTTGTCGTGAAGCCTGCATCCTCTAACAGTCTATTCATGGCTTGTGTTTATAATATTGTTACTCATATAATATCCTGAGTGATTCATAGCTCTATATTATATTGTTTAATTTATTTTAAAAAAAGTATTTTCAAGCTAATTTCATAAGCTTTATGTACATTTTTACTGTTTATGTACATTTTTCACATATGAGTACAAGCAAGTTATTCATTAAAATATATTACAATTTCAAGAAATTTATTTATATCTCGGTAATTATTCATTGTACGAGGTCAACGAAGTTCAATAAAAAATGATTTTGTAAGGAATTTAAAAATCTTTTGATTTGATAACAAGTACTCTTTACGTAGGAATAGCCGAGAAAATCCGAGATATTTATATGAAACTTTAAAAAAAAAGTTTTGTTAAAAAATAAAGAAAAATATATTCTTAAAACCGTATCTCAGAAACTATTAGTCGTACAAGGACGAATAAAAAAATGATTTTGTAGGAATTTCAGTAATCTTCAATTTTTATGAGAAGTATTTTGTACGTAAAAGTAACCAGATCCGAAATATTTACGAAAAAATGTGAAATATCGCTTTATTCGAGAGAAATGATCAAAAATACAACATTCTCCAAAAAATTCCATTCACAGAAAATATTGATCATATAACCTTCAAAAAATGAAATTTGTAATTTTATCAGCTTTCTTTTTGATAATAATCTTTATTTAAACAAAATGAGTACTTTCTAAAATATTCTAAAAATCGGCATTTTTTATTAGTTGTTTGAAGCTGAAAAATTTTTCAAGTCCGCTGGCAGTCAGGACTTTTAATGATGTATAAATCATTTCGAATAACTTTCTGCAAACAAATTTTTTATGGCAATTTTGCTTCTAAAATGCAAAATATTTAATTTTTCTGGACTAGACAGATATTTTAAATAGATTTAAATCTTGAAAAATATTGTGTAAATCAAAAGTGAAAGAGAGATCGATATTTCTAGGTGGTCGTTCTTCTTCGTCGTCAGGCGCGAATCCAGACGCTCCTGGACACAGCCGATAGTCCTACATTTAGTCGCTACGACAAAGAATATGAGGATTTACTCATAAGCTACACGTGGAAGGGCATCTTCCATCATGCGATTTATCAAAGCTTCGGCGGAATTGCGGTGTTTTGTTGGGGTTTTACACCAATCGCTGACTTCGTCGCTGGTCGTTCACGTCAACTGCCCATGCAGGGATGGTACCCTTACAATACGACAGCGACGCCGGCTTTCGAGATCACCGCGGCACATCAGGGCATCGCTATCATAATTGCTTGCTTTCATAACGTGGCAATGGATACATTGATGACGGGCTTGATCACAGTCGCCTGTTGCCAGCTGGCAATCCTAGAGCGCAACATTATCTCGATTGATAACAAGGCAAGCATTCATGGGATGCAGAATGATAATGATAAGAACAAGCCGCTCGAAAGGAGAACGTTAGCTTATCAACTACTCAAGCGATGCGCTATGCACAGCAATATAATATTTCATATATATATATATATATATATATAGGATGTCTCAGACTATCCGTTCCTTTTTATCTCCGCAGGATAAGATCTAATCAAAAATATCTTCAGACAAAAGTCGCGAGGTTTAAAAAGATCTATTTATTGAGTATCATATCAGTTTGACCTTGGGTGGCTTTGCCAAGGTCAGATCAAGGTCACATCGAGCTTCCATGTTGCAAGGATAAGGAAAATTGTTAAAAACCTTACAGTATTCTTTACAAAAATATATTACCTAACCTTACATTGCCGGAGCTCGCCAAGAGATCATCACATCACGCTACAGAAGTATAGACATGACTGTTTTGCGGCGCATGCGCATTAAAACGCGTCCCCGCTAGCAACACTGGACGTATACGATAGCATCATCTTCAAATACGGCCTTCGTATTAGGCGTTTCGCCTTGCTGTATGAGATTCTTCCGTTCTCCCATCACAATCCATGGTGATAAGCAATCAACCAGGAAGCGCAAGACCTATCGGATTTTGTCAAAAATTTCCATGACACGAGACTCGTAAAAATATTATGCGTGAGAACAGCCCCCTGTTTCAACACCGTCACTTCCTTCACGATAAATTTCTTGTTAACGATGAATCCCCCTTGCAGATCCACAAATGTCGGTATGGCCATGTCGAGCAATTTTTCGAGATTGCACCTCATTCCAGTTTTTCTCTCTCTTTAAAGTTCTAAATACATGTTGATGTTGCACCACTTCCTTGGGCGGTCGAAGATTACCGAAAAAAGTCAAAGTCACGACGCGGTTGTTCCTCTTCACGTACGCTTCCCACTGAGTCCCGTCGCATTGTCCAGATTCACGATACCATTTTCGTTTTGACGCACGTCGTTCATCGAACGCGTTACAAAAAAAACACCTCTAAAGTACAGTACGCGCGTACGTCTCGCGAACATATCTAATTGCATGTTGATAATTGCACCCCAGGGTATTTTTATCGTCTCTTTGGCATTTTTTTTCCTTCGCTGCTATATGTATCTCCTCTGATTAATCGCTTCGTAAATCGAGTGCCCAGGACGCAAAATTGGTAACCCGAAATATGTAAAAGGAAGTGCGTTTATCAACGCTCGATTCAACAGACTGCTGCCTGACGCTAACATTCACTATAGTTCTTTATCTTTGATGCCGGATCATTAATGTACGACCCTACTGTAAATTTCTATGGGAAATTTTCCTATGGGTTTGTCTAATCATGGGTACTCATGCTAAATTCGGTTCCATGAAAGAAAGCTCCTATCTTGTAAACTCCCATGGGTTTTTTTATAGGTCCCTATAGAGGACTATAAAATTCTGATTGTGTTCCAAAATTTACTGCCAGTGTTAAAAATCTATTGTTCGTTATGTGCGCTATAGATTTTCAATACTAACAGTAAATTTTGGAACACAACCTCTGTAGGAACTTGCATAGTGTAAACCATTAATGACAACAGAGAAAAATATCAGAGCATTCCTGGGGGTTCGTCTCGAATCCAGACCTGGTCTCTCCTCCGAGTTGGTAGACTTCTGTCCTGCTACTGAGCCACACAGCCCTGATGCTAATACCTTCTCTATTGTGCCTATTTCCTCTAAATTTCTTACAATAGGTACTTATAGGATTTACACAACATGTATATAAATAGGATAACATAAGAAATTTTTCTACAAGGTTTTACATAGGAATCTATGGCATCCAGTCCATGAAAAGAGACTCCTAGAGATCACGTGGGAAAAAGAATGATGTGCACGTTGATGCAATCCTAAATGATATACAGGATGTTCCGTATTTGGGGCTATTTTTGTGTGCAGATAAAGATTAAATTGAGTCAAAAAATCCTGTATCATTTTGTAATTTTCACAATAGTTAGTTTCTAAAAATTGCCGAATAAGCGGATAAAATCGACATATAAGACAACTTTAAGATATTTTTCAGAGTTCTTTATGATATATTTTAAAGATATTTTTTAAAGAACTCTTAAAGATACCTTAAAATTGTCTAATGCGTCGATTTTAGATATTCTGCTCATTGAGTAATAATTACAAAAATTGCAAAATGATACAGCGAATATACGCTTTTACACATAAAATTCCAAGATAACTTCAGTTTTCAACGATAATTATGACTTTCATAAGTACGAGACAAGTCACATTTTCACAATTAAGCAAATAATAACGAAATGCACGCAACATAAATTTTGTTGTCAAAACGTCATTTTTCCATTCCTATAAGTTCGTACGTTGTAACACATAAACACGAACCAACATTAATTTGAGTTCAATTGATGCGGGAACCGATTTCACATGCTTGTTCCACTATACTCTTTCATAAAATTATTAGGTGTTGGAATTAATTCGTAGCGTTTTTTAATGAAAGAATGTTATTTATTTCACATGAGCATTAAAAAATATATTAATGAAATTATTTCCCATCACTTGTAAAACGCTACGAATTAATTCCAACACCTAATATTATATCTCTATAATATTTAGAAAATTTAATTTGCATAAATTTTTTTGAATTAGATTATATATGTGAATATGTACTGTATTGAAGCTATAAGAAAATTGATGAAATTAATTATCCATTTGCATTTTTAGCTTTGTTAGCAACTAATTGTATTGATTTTGCAGTTTCACAAATGAAATTCAGAACATCTTTGGTACCGTTATCTTCTTTCAATTCCTCTCGAATTGCATGATCATTTGTTTGATTGCCTTCAATGTATCGCAGGTAAATCCGATTGCTTTGATCAATTTATCAGCGAGTTTTCACGCGACCGGTTGAACCGCAGATGAATGTTTATATTCCGGCGGTGCTGATCGGCATGCTGACATACATGTGTTGCATGACGTACCAAATATTCATCTTCTGTTGGCACGGTAATGAATTACATCTACATGTGAGTATTTAAATAGATATTTTTATACATACATGTGCAAGAAAACATGCGCGATTTTTAGAGTATGCGTTTAGTCACGGCCGCATACTCGAACAATTGGTTCTCCAACACCGAAAGATTCAAACGCGGTCTACAAATCATGATGATAAGGGCTCATCGTCCGCTCACCTTAAGTGCCGGTAGGGTCATGTTATTGTCTTTAGATACTTTTATGCAGGTACGTATATTTTTGTTAAAACAAAATTCATTCACTCAAATACATTATAAAGATCTAGATGATGATGTTGTCTTTCTGATAATTGAACTTTTGAAAAGCATATGCACCATTTAATTTTCAGTGCAAATCAAAAATTGCCTCCTCGACTTATTAAAATAATTCGCATACATCTTTATTTTAAATTGATCTTAAATAATATTTATTATCTGAATCCAAGCATAGTAGTGGTTCTAAAACTAAACTGCTTTAAATTTTTAAGTAGAATTTTTGGTTGTTTGAACAAAGATAATAGCTCTTGTATATTTCAGATAATGCGGATGTCCTATTCGATTTTTACGGTACTTCAAGGATCGGCTGCTTAAAAACCGGTTTGTTGATATCAAATTTTGTAGCTACGATATATTTTTTAAAACTACAAAGAGCAGCAAATGAAATATAAATGTTTTAGTTTTATTGAATACTGTATCATTATATATATGTACAAAAATATGTATAATTTTTATATATAAATTTTTTATATATATATTCTTCATGATATTGCCTACATCATTAAAACGAGAAAAAGACTTAATCACAATCGTTTGTTTGATACGATGTATCACTCTTATCATTTTATGTTAGTTCGATTTGTATATTACAATATTTTTACAAAATTTCGCTTAAACCTTTTAATTGATTACAGCGCTTCTACCATCACAGCGATACCTTGACCGCCGCCAATACAAGCAGAACCGATGCCGAATTTTCCAGCCTTTCGCCTTCTGCAAGAAAAATACATATATAAATCAGAATATTAATAAAAATGCGTTGTTTTATGCTATCATAAGGTATGTTACCTAAGTTCATGCACCAAATGACCAGTGATCCTGCTACCGGAAGCAGCCAATGGATGTCCTACAGCAATAGCACCACCATTTACATTCAATTTATTCAAATCCAGATTAAGTTCCTTTGCACACGCTAAAGTCTGAGCGCCAAACGCTTCATTGATCTATCAGAAATTACACAGTTAATGCTTAACAAGAGTAAAACCTAAATTATATTTTTAATTACTTTTTATATTAATTATTTTCATTTTTAACATTAATTATTTAAAACATTTTTACGTTTTAAAGAAGCTGCTTGATAGGTAAAGTTTCTATTGTATAAATTGAAATCTCACCTCAACGATTTCTATGTTATCGAGTGTTTTGCCCGTAACTTTAAGTAAATTCTTGATTGCTGGTGCAGGACCAATTCCCATAATGCTCGGCTCTACGCCGACAATACTATATCCTACTAAACGTGCCAATGGTTTCAAACCTTCTGCCTTGACAGCTTCTTCACTAGCTAAAATAATAGCGCTCGCTCCGTCACAGATACCCTGAGAACAAGAATAAAGCCGAGTTAATTAAAGCCGAGTTAATTAAATTTGAGAATAAAGCCGAGTTAATTAAATTTGAAAGCCGAGTTAATTAAATTTGAAAGCCGAGTTAATTAAATGGGAAAAACGTTATAAAGATTGATATAAAAATTCTATCCATAAAATGAGTGAAAGCACAGTACCGATGCAGAACCAGCTGTGACTAATCCATCTTTCTGGAAAACTGGTTTCAATTTGGCAAGTGTTTCTAGCGTCGTTTGCGTACGTGGATGTTCGTCCACACTGACAGATGTATCCTGCTTCTTAATTTTCACTTGCACGGGCACTATTTCTTCATTGAAACGACCCGCATCGTTGGCTATAATACATTTTCTTAAATAGAGGCTTAAATTCTATAATCTAAATTTATTTAATTAAAGAAGAAGATTAATAAACTATAAATTTCATATTTAATTAATAGCTAATACATAAAATTTCATATTAAGTAAAATATTGTCGATATCTACCAGCTTTCCAACGTTGCTGACTATTCAAAGCAAATTGATCGACTTCTTCTCTCTTTAATTTGTATTGAGCACCGAGTTTTTCCGCAGTCAAACCCATGGGCAAATTACAATAGGTATCATGTAATCCAACCCAAAGTGAGTCTTCGAATTCATATTTCTGGCCCAGGGCAGTGCCATAACGAACGTTTCTCACAGCAAAAGGAGTTTGACTCATGTTTTCTGCACCACCCGTCAAGACAATCTTTGAATCTCCCATCAAAATATTCTGAAATGGAAAAATGTAGTCATTATAGTGAAATGCTATATAATAATTTTAATTTCTGCAACTATTCCTTATTAGTAGAGGAGAAGGTAGTATTATGGTCAGTGTAGACATAATAGCCTCTGCTAATACCTTCAAGGTGACGAATATTAGTGATTACTCATGGAATTATTTGTTTGGTATTCACCGTTATACCATGACAATATACCAATACACAATAGCCAGCATTTATCATAACATATTTTTACTTATAAACATTTCAAAACGTTTTTAAAATACGTTTTTATCATTTAATTACACATGCTCCCTCATTCTTTTTAAACTTAAACGTATTATTATAATACGAATACATATGTATTTATGTATATATATATATATATTATGTATGTATATATATATATATATGTACATATGTATTATGGTTTTATGTCGTTCAAAGGCACGTCCTTCAGAATAGTGGTACAAGCCCTTTGGATGTCTTCTACGTCCACATACCGCTTTCCTTTCATGGACAAATGCATTTTGCCGAATAGGTAGAAGTCACAAGGTGCCATATCAGGCGAATACGGGGAATGGTTGATTGTTAAAATGTGATTTTTAGTCAAAAAATCAGTGACAAGTGTCGAACGGTGAGATGGCGCATTATCGTGTAACAAGCGCCAACTTCCTCCTTCGCGATATTCTGGCTGAATACGACGAATGCGGTGCACCAAACGCTTCAAAACGCTTACATAGAATACAGCATTAACTGTTTGGCCTGCTGGAACGAATTCTTTGTGCACAATACCCTTGGAATCATAAAAACTTCGATGGAATTTTCGTTAATTGTCGATTTTGGGCGACCTGTATGTGCGTCGTCATTTATGTCCTCACGACCGTTCTTGAATCGCGTATACCACTCATAAACACTGGCACGGGCTACACAATTATCACCATAAACTTGTTTCATCAAATTATGGGTTTCGGTAAATGTTTTACCAAGTTTAAAACAAAACTTAATATTGGCTCTTTGTTCGAAGTTCATTCTCGTACCGATGTATACAACATACTGACACTTGAGACACCATAACTTCGTTTCCACTGAACCAAATGTCATGAAATTTTTACTGGAAGTCAGCTAGGGATGTACCTTTCAAACGCGCAATCGAACACACGGATGGCGCCACCCGACCTATCCCTATTGAAAAAGTTTGGAAAATTTTGGGACGCACCTTGTATATTTAAATGTGTTTCTTTAACACTTTATGTAGATATATACATTTCGACTCAAGCATAGTAGTACCTATAAAGTGCTAAAAAAGCGCTTATATGTCTTTTTCAGTGCTTTCTTAACACTTTGTAGATGCTATATCGGATTTACACAGCTTCGCTTGATTAAAGTCTTTGATTTCCACGCGGTACATCTTGAATAATGCTAACATCGGCAGTATTGAAATTTTGAAGTCTCATAAGTTTCAGGAAAATCTCAACTAAAGAGTTTGTGATCAGTGTTTCGAAAACGCCTTGAGACGAACTACAAGAATATGCAATAAAAGATATGGGTTCCCATTTAAAAAATTCAAGTCGACCTTGACATAACCTTTATAACACCACCAAAATCAATCACATATGCTCATGTAATGCATTATTTGATCCCGAATAACTTTTGTTTGAAACATTTTTCAAAATAACTTCCCTCGTTTTTAAATGGGGTATATGGGTGATCTGAAACACCTAGTTTTTTTATTATTGTTCTCATCTCTATTGGAATAATATTATTTGTTAGTTATTCTTTCCTCAATATTTACTAAATTACTATTTTAAGAGAATTATGGAATTCTTGGCTAACCTGAGCCCCGTTGACAAGTGCCTGAAAACCAGAACCGCATAATCTATTTACACTAAGTGCTGGTCTTTGTAACGGAATTCCTGACTTTAATAAAGTATGCCTTGCCAAAAAAGCACCATCGGAAGATGAATTCTATAAAGAAAAAATTATAAGTACGTCAGTTCAGTTAAAAGATCAATGAGTTCCGTTTCACGCATGATATGCATATTGCATCATTTATCCTTATTTAACATTCGGTGAACAACAAGGATAAATGATGCATCATGCGTGAAACGGAATACACGCTATGTAAATACTCGTAATTGGTAATTATAAATGGAAATTAATTTACCATTAAAACATGTCCAAATACAACACTGTCAATCTTCTCTGGTTTTAGGCCTGCTGCCTGTATCGCAGCAGTTGATGCAACAACTGATAAATCAGTTGCACTTTTGTTTATAAACATACCCCCCATTGTACCAAATGGAGTACGCTTTGCAGCAACAATAAATATACCTGTGGAAGATTTCAAATTAATAATTCATTTCTTACTAATCCTATTCTTTTATATTTCAACTGATTTTAATTTTATATTCCATTAAACTACTAAAGTTTTAAGTGAAAATTATTAGATTAAATATAATAATAAAAAATATGATACATATACTCTAGTAAACATCAACTATAATAGTAATATATTCTACTTATAATGTACAATTTTTACAAAAACTATCAATTAATTCGGTACCATTTCAGAGCAAATCAGAGTGCTATAGAAGTAAAATAAAGTTAACAGTTAAGCAGTTAAACACATTTTTAATATTGTTCACACAATAATATAAATATAACATACATGTATATAATAATTACATTATTAAGTAGGAAAGTATAATATTAATGAAATGTCAAAAATATATGAAAAGAAAGCGCATAAAGAACCACAGCACAAGATGTAGTTAGTGATATTTAATTATTCTTGCATTACGAATTACAATAAAAACATTAAACGTTTCGGCCACAATCTGGCCATCTTCAGTAAAATTAATAATATTCTTAAGACGCAGAGTTACATCAAGTTGGAATCAAATTCAACCCTCGTGTGTTATAATTGTAAAACGTCAGAAAATCTGACGTTCTAACATTATTATATGAAGCAGCGTCGCTTTGATGCAAACACGATCTTTACAATTATTTATGCTCTTTCTTTTCATATATTTTTGAATTATAACCACATTCATTTTTTACATTTTTTAATGAAATGTTATTTTTAGTTGATTATTTTTATTTGTTTACATACAAATAGCTACTTGCTATATTAAACTATCATATTAAATTAAATTGAAATTATATGCTAAAGCACGTATGTTCGATAAGCGACACAAGCAGCACAAATTATACACCGTTTTCTTTTTGAGACGTTATTTGTTTTGTCTCATTATGATTCTGACTAAACCGTCTAATTAAATTGATTAATTCAAATGGTAGATGTTTATTTTCAATTTAGACCAATTACCAATGTAGACTAATGTTATTTTTGTTATAATTCTATGAACTAAAGAAAGATAAATAGTAAAATTTTTACGATGTAAACGGAAATTGATCTTTGTGTGTGTGCGCGCGCGCGTGTGTGTGTGTAAAATATCAAACTCGTTTAAGGAAAAATTTCTAATTATTATAATGTAATTCGATTCAATCTTTTCTTTCAAATGTAAAACAAAAAATTAATAACTTTAACTGCAGGTATTATTTGACAAGTGCATCACCACGATGAAATTAATCAGAATTTAAATCGAGCTTATTTTTGATGTTAAAGTATTAAATTA